CCAGAAATACTTCAAACTCCCTTGAATTATTATCAGTATAAATAGGTATCCAAAGTGGTTGTAGAATTTTGATTTGGGACCCATACCAAAAGATTGCGCACGCAGGATGTACAATTTATTGTATTTTGATATGCATTCTTCAACAGGATGGGAAGGTTGTGCGGTAACCCCCCCCCCCCCTCCTATATTCGCCACAAGATCACTAAAGCTCCCAGTCGTATCTATAAATATGGCTCATATCAATATATTTTGTGTTAATTTGTATTTAGATTCTATCGTGTACGAGTTATTGGACCCGTCTTGTAAAGAGYTGATACGCACAACCACTGAACATCTTAATGTGAGTATTTCCTCCCTCCAAGGTGCAGATGGATAGAGGAATTTCTCTCTCGCCTTGGAGAAATTCAAAGCATAAGTTGCCCATATTTTATGCTAATTAAAATCACTTATTCAAACCCCACTTGCACTTGTGGTTTTCTTTGTATTGTCCTCATGAATTATTGATGAGTTTGAGAATGTTTTTCAAAGAAACTGTTTCATAATAAATACAATCCTATCTCTTGCAGTTTTTCGCGTGCGAAGGTCTTCGTACCCTGGTCACTGCATACAAAGACATTCCACACGAGGTGTATAAAGAATGGAATCAAAGATTCCACACAGCAAGGTACTGCCTATAAAAGAGCAATTTCCGTGCGACTAAAAAGCTCACAGCACGAACACGCTCATGACACGACAAGGCATACGCCAGACCAATCACATTGCGCTAGAATTACTCTCCATCCAATCAAATGCCAGGAACACGGGATGCGCTCACGGTCACGTCAAGGTCACGGTACCGCTATCGGCCACTTAAAATTCTAGAAAAATATCATGGTAACTGCAAAGTCACAACACTACCAGACCAATCACATTGTACGACAAAAAAATCAGGCAATTAAAATTCACGGTCTCAATTTCACGGTCACGGCAAGGCGCGAATACGGAACTGAGTTTTTCACAGTCATGCAATACTGCTCTAATGCATCTGTTATAGTCCTCTTTACCTGGGGTGTAATGTCTTACCATTTCAAACCAGATGTTTGACGAGATGAAAACGCGCGCGCAAACCTTAGCTTTTTCACACGAGCCTCGAAGAAAAGCAAACGAAGTCCTCTTTGTTTTCATGTTGTATCCTTACATTGTTTGTGACCTTGTAGTATCTCCATGGAGGACAGAGATGAGAAGATTCAATTACTTTATGAAGAAATCGAGCAAAATCTCATTCTTATCGGAGCTACAGCCATTGAAGACAAACTACAAGATGGTGTCCCCARTACCATAGCAACACTAGCGGCAGTAAGTTATTCTTGTTGTATTTGAACTGTTGCCAGTTAGTTGATTAGTTTGCCTCATTTTCGCTGTGCTTTAACAGGCTGATATCAAGATATGGGTTCTGACAGGAGACAAACCAGAAACAGCGGTCAACATTGGCTACTCATGCCAGCTCCTCACGGATGACATGACAGAGGTGTTCACAATCAATGGYGAAACCATGGAGTCTGTCCGCAATGCTATCACTGAATATAARAAGAGGGTTAAGCCRCACGARCCTGTGGAAGAAAGAAGTCTAGATGGYTCCAGAATGAATGCTGTGAAGGATGACAATGATGTAGAATTAGTGGCCTTCAAGGGTAACGATGGGACTAATAAACAAGCTAATGGGGTAAGATAATGCCATGTGGGATGTGAATAGATTACCCTTTCTTGGGTGCGCGAGATCATCTCGGCCAAGTGCCCAAAAAAAACCTTGGATCGGAGATACCAAAAAAAGCACTAGAGCGAGAGCTACTAGAACTGAGAGTGCCTGGGATACCGGGGATTTCAATAATAGGGACCTTTAAATGCGACAACAATGGGTTCCAATTCTTAGGAGATTTGAATCATTTTGTTTTGTCCCCCAGATCAAGGGCGCTAGGGCAAAAATTGGTGGTTTTTTAGCCGTTAGACTCTGTTTAAACTGATACTTATCTGTTCTGTTATGTGCTGGCTTGATTTGTTCAGTTTTCCCGTCTATATACGCCAAAAATATTGCTGTGACCAACGGTCCAATCGTATGTAACGAACTACTGTATCCTATACCTGCCTCGTGACCGCTTACGTTAGCGTACGCGTCGGTTAATAAGTTAATAAGTTAATCCAAATCCCCTAAATAACCAAGAATGAACTGTTCTAAAAAACCACCGATTTTTGCCCTAGCGCCCTTGTTCTCACCAAAGACAAATATTCTTTTGTTTTTCTACTACTTGGACTTTTTTGCGATTCTTTTTAAGATATTTAAAATATGTTTTTAATGATTATCTGACGTTTCACGTTTGCCGTGAATGTAAATCTAAAACTCTGTATTGTCTTCTTATCGTAGGGTAAAGGTAACGGTGAATACGGACTAGTAATAACTGGCAAAAGTCTGGTAAGTCTGGTAACACTATTATGTGGATAATATAACTGGAGCTTGACATAAAACTTTTTATGTACTTGCATATTGACGAGATTTTATCCTTAACTGTAGGTTCATGCGTTGGATAAAAGTCTTGAGTTAGATTTTCTTGAGCTAGCTTGTTCTTGTAAAGCCATTATCTGCTGTCGAGTAACACCTTTACAGAAAGTAAGTCAATT